CGCCGCGTTGCTTCAGAATGCTTCAGCTGTTCGTCGCGCTAACTACTAGTACTGTGAGGCCAATATTAAGGCGTTCATCAGAGAACAGATATGCACAAGAAACTTGTGTGGGTAGAGGGAAGAGCGTTATTCCACCGTGGGAAAAAAGACTGTGCGCAACAAACGAGAAATTATTGGGAACGAAACACAAGTATCATATGCTGTACCTGAGAGAACCATCGACTCACTTCAAATATTTTTTGGGCTCGGATTATGATCTCACTTGGCTCGCAATCTTAATAGTTTGTATGCGGAACTTATGTGCTTCATTTCACATCGTACTTCTTCGTGGTTTGGATAATCCTTCTTTCAAGACTCAAGGAATGCTAGTTTGTGAATAGTGAAAGTCACAACGTTTGAACATAAGATTGCGAAGGTTTTTTCTAAATTAATCTTATTTCCTTGGGAAAGATAGTCTGGTCGTGAGTGTTCAACCCTTGCTTGTCTCTGTTCCTTTTGGTATTTGCTAATTTGTTCGAGACGCGGTGTCGGCTAATCGGCAAATACTAACAAGCTGCTATGCAAATGACATCGGTCTCGCCTCATTGTGTGCACATGGCATATCAGTGCGAAGCTTGCAGGTCGTGCTAATGTATCGCCGCGAGAATTTTTTTGAGTTGGGTTGAAGAAAGGCGAGTGAACGGGGTACAAAAGTGTTAAGAGAGACAGAGTTTGGAATCCCTGTGTAGAATGGTCAACCTAAATCGGGATCTGAATAATATTATAGTTGGTAGGAATCGAGAGTTCATTACGCTGTTAATTTTGTTCACTGGATAGATGTAGCGTTCGGTATTTGATTGACCAACTTCTTTTACCACGCTGACAAAAGCCCGTTCTGCGTTGCCTCGGCTTTTTTATATTTGTTCAAAATCACCATTACCACTTCAATAATTGGATTACTGGTAGTGGAAATGCTATTTTTGGATCCGACAATGTAGAGAAATAGTTTTGGTGCATGAGACATCCCGAATGAATGGGGCAATCGAGTCTCATTAGCATGAAACTGAGGCCAAGCAGGTACGCTGTCGCTAATGCGTTAATTCCGTCAAGTATTCGGCTCGGTTTCTGCATATATAGTAGTACTTAACTAGTCCCCTCAACAATGACATAAGAAGGGACATCTGCTTGTCTAAAACCCATTTAACAAATGCAGAGATTA